TATGTAAGATGATCATACCTGTCATATTGATCTTCTAATTGGCAGGCTGCAGCATAAGCAATGGTGCCCCCCTCACAATTAAAAGTAATGCCATACACATACAAGGCAAGGTCTGTATCTTCAAGGCCAGGTCCATCACTGTAAGCCTCAACACAATTGCTACTGTCACCATTGCACTCCACACAACGCTGTGAATGCATCACAAGTTATTATTGCTATTATATGCACATTCACACAAGCACAAATAATGAAAAAGACTCTATGCTATAATGAAACAACAATACTATAAAATCCTTAGCAGATGCATGCTAAAATGTATGTCTAAAGTAATCCAACTTCTCTTTTGAATCAAAGCTATACTTATATACCTGTAGATGTTCTGATGGTACTGGAAAGTACCCACAAAGAAGTGTTTCATTTGCACATTGATCAGGACATGGTTCAGTTGGACCAGTTAGAACAGAAACTTCTTCATTACTACAATACCTAAAAGTTGGATTGGTAAGGAACTGCATGTTGACTGGTTTTACCTTCGTAATCTAAGAGGGCTTGGAGTCCTTCGTACTGTAAGGATTGATTCGAGATTTTCTTTGACATGACTCATAACAGACTGTAATTAAGTTATCATAATAAAATTTAAATAATGTAAAACAATATCAAACCTTCACTTGCTGTTGCTTTGCCAATGATAGTCTAAAATTTAAATCATAATATTTGGTAGATAATATTAAAATAATAGTACTCTATCTACATTATCACTATTACTATCTAATTGCTCGAGTTACTACTGAATATTATCTAAAGCTGGACAATGGACATCCACTAAGCAACTTCATTACAAGTATTTTTGATGAAGTTGCATGGGCAATATATTGCTTCAAGTAGAGAGTCTCTTTACTTCTGGCAGCATGTTGCTCAACCACTGACATCAAAGGCTTGACAGCAACAAAGCTGCCTAGCAGATGCTGTTTGTTCAATTATTGTGCTACATAAAATGTAGACTCACACTCCTCCTAATGCAGTAAAATTGTAATGGATATTGATACGAATCGGTTGATTAAAAGCAGCATCTCTTCCAACATTCTTTGTAGCTTTAGAATCAGCAGAATCTTCTAAGTGTGTTCGAATCAAAAACTGTTAAAAGAACACAAAACTGAAAGGAGCTCTATATTAATATTGTACTACTTTTTTAGGAAACTTGTCATGAGAACATTTATGATAATGACCAGCAATTGTATTAGCCAGAGCCAGAGACAAAATCAGGATACAGAAGTTGTAACTTGTACTCTTCATCTTGTTTTTTGCTTTACACTGAACTTTTTGATATAGAAGCTTGTTCAGTGGCGGCTTAAATAAACAAAAATGCATTAGATCATAGAGTGCATGTAAATTTTAAGGCTGGTAAAGGGGTCTGGTAAGGGTTTGGTTAACAAGACTATGTAAATTCACTGAATAAGCCATAAATATCATTAAGAGTCTACAGTATA